CAACTTCAAGAACACCGGAAGATACTACCACTCAGTGCTTCCAGAGGGACAGGGAATGGATGGATCCAGCTGGGGAAAACTGCAGGAGGCAGCTGTGGGAGGTCGATGTACTTGGAATAGTCTTGGTTACAATGCTTGGTTGCTTCTTGAATGGAGCCAAGGAGGTGGATTTTCCCCTTTGGAAGGGGATGTCACCATGGTGTTTGGATGCCAGAAGGTGCTGGTCAAGTAGGAACTGCGTAGGAATCAGTAGGAATTCTAGGTGATAATTTTCATAAGCGAAGTGTAATTTTGTGCGTTTGAAAAAATTCGTTTTGAAAATTATATGAAAGATAATTAATCATACATAGTCACTGCTAGAAGTACTAGTAGTACCCAATTATGTCATAATCTTGTTGTTGTCTAGAAGAATGACAAGGCAAGAAGTCACAGACACAAGAGGGGTTGTGGTGCTGGGTCCCAGTAGTATTAGTACTACTAGCATTAGTAGTGGTAGTAGCCAATAGAAACAAAAGGTAGATTTCAAGCATGTGGTGCAGCTACAAGAAGATGGACAACCATTGCCAAGGATGCACTGAAACTTCTACAGACATAGCCTACCAGAATTTTGAATTTGCCAAAGAAGACAAGAAGAAGGAAGAACAAGAAAGCTTGTCACTACAGCAAGAAATGCATAGTGCTACTAGTACTAACTATTAGTACCATAGAGAACCTTGTCTTTGTTTGTCAAGAAGAAAATGAATTCTAGAGGTGTGCTAGTGGTAGTTTTAGGTTACTAGTATTTTATCTTACTAGTACTACTATTTGTCTCATGTTGTCAAGATTTTACTAATTACTATGATAAGTAATATCTAGCAGTGTACATATGGGGAGCTAAATTAAAGCTACTTTAAAGTAGCTTTGAGTTAGAAATAAAGTAGATTTATGGTAGAAATAGTTAAGTGGTGGTAGATTGAAAGTCAATTCTGGTACTACTAGGCAATAAATTGACACATGGGGGGAAGTAGTAGTAGGTGAAACAGATGAAGGACAGACTGTTCAAATTTCTGTTAGGGACTGGGGGACTATTTTCACAACATTGGATGGATGACAGCCTATTTCTAGTCTGTAGGATATCAGACCGTGGGTATGACTCATATATACGACACATACATATGACACATATCTATGATTCATACACACCATACATATATGACTCACACAATCCCATTGGATTCATATGATTGACGTGACTCATTTCATTCACTTTCGTGAGTGACTCGACTCATTCGATTCACACATCACTCGATCCTCACAGTGATTGATTCTAGATTCCATAGTTTGTCAATCCTTGATAAGAGCATCGACTCACTTTTCTTCTAGCATACATTTTACATCACTATTAGGACAGTCACTCCCACAGGTTATGACACCCTTCCAATAAAAAATCATCACCACCATGGTGATCATTTTTTAGGCGTGATCTCTCCTCACTACACGACTCTACCAAACACTTGGTCGACACACACCTTTGAACAACACATCGACAACGCATATGCATTGTCATCGCCTCATCGACTCACTTTTCTACTAGTAGCACACACTTTGCATCACTTTTAGGACAGTCACTCCCACAGGTTATGACACCCTTCCAATAAAAATTCATCACCACCATGGTGGTGATAATTTTTTTAGGCGTGCTCTCTCCTCAATACGAACTCTACCGACACAGCGTCGACACACACCTTTGAACAATACATCGACGGCGCATACAATCGTCACCGCCATCGCCTTCGACAATGCCTTCGCATTGTCACTAACACCATCTTCAACAACGCATACGCCTTGTCAACGCCATCGTTTTCGACATTATCAATTTTCACTCCCACATCTGGTGAGTCTTAAATTTGGTGGGCCTTTCTGTTGAGTCTTTCTTCAACCAACGACTTGAAATTTTTATCTGTGAATTCCATACTAAATTAAGTCATTTTTGAATGGGGGTCAGAGGTTGGATAAAAAATRACTAGATTTGCTGGTCAATCTACTAGACCTCATTTTTTTTTTGCTGCGAGAGGAGAGCAGCACCAACACCAGAACCCCCTTAGTACCCAGCAGTTTGCAGTTTTCACTAGTACTAGTAGTATGGCATCCCAACTAGTAAGTAGTAATGGAGGTGATCCAGTAGTAAGCACTGATTTTATATACCCAGTAGTAAGGAGCACTAATAGAAATATTTTAAGACTACGTAGTTTTTTTGTGTGGAGGGGGGGGGAGAGGGGAAATAAAGACGGGAAAATGAGAAAAAAATTGACACCCGGGGAATTGCCAATAACTTGCCACTACGGGGCTTGCCTTTAATAGCTCTACTCGTAGGTAACCAAGGTAGGTTGGTAAATAGGGACTGTAGACTGTACTCGTTACTCGTACTCTTCGAATTCGTATTCGTTACTCGTATTCGTGCGGGATTACAACATGTGACTGTAAAGGTTACCGTACCAACAAAACTACAGTATTCCAGTAGTGCGACTATCCGTTACAATCGGCGTCACTCRGTTCAGTTTTAAGCGAAGGGTATTTCGTATTTCGTACTTTTCGTACTGCACTTGATTTTCCTTTCATTTTAAATAAATGCTTCAAAAGGCGCTTGTGCTTCGCAATTCAGTGAAACGAATTGAACGATAGGCACCATTAAAACCTCAAAGAAGATAGCGAAATATACTACGACAAGTAGAAATGTCTCCCCTCACAGATGTATCGAATTCTGCGGACCCCGCGAAGAAAAAGTCTGGAAAGACAACGAAAAAGAGTAGGGAAGTTCTTTCGACAGAGGAAAAAATCTTGAATCGCTTTACTCAAACAGTAGACAATGCGCCACCCTCGATGAACCGAAGTCCGGAACTGATTCCCTTGTATATGAAATGGGAAGACACAAAGAAGAAACTTCGATTGCTAGTGTCGTTGGCCACAGACTACGCTGAAACCGCGAGAACAATGCACGAGTCGAGGTCCAAACTAGTGAACCAAATGGCAGTTCTTTCGGAAARCTCGCCCATCTTTGACAGCGTGGGGGAAACGACACTGAGCGGAAAATCGCTCAAGGCAATCCAATCGATCCGCGAAGAACCACCCGTCGGYAAGCGAGCAACGATAAGCCAGATTGTCAAGTCGTCGATCGAATCCGAGAGCCGAAGCAGTCTCTCGTCTTTGCAAGAGATTGTGACGACCCAGGGAATCATCCAGGAACGAGACTTTCGGGCGCAGGTGATCGACTATGCCACAGAATGGGAAAAAGTGGTKTCGGAAAAAGTCGAGAGCGAGCTGAAAAAGGTTCGCGCCCTGCAGGGGACGCGGTCGCACTACGAGAAAAAGCTCGAAAAGCTGAGGCAATGGGCCGACGACCTGCAGAAAAAAGGAAAGYCAATCCCCCCGGCCCAGGCCGAGAAGCTGGAACGGAACGAAGCCAAGCTCCTGGAGGCCTTCGAAGCCCACGAGCAAGAGGCGGGGCGCCTCTGCGTGCTGATCGAAGAGGCAACCACGAACGGTTGGAGAGAACTGTACCACCTGGTGAAGTATTATTGCAAGTGGGAATCCTTTCGAGTGGAACAAGAAAGCAACATTTATTCTCGGTTGCTTCCCACCACTCTGGAATCGATGAAGGCGGCCTTCAAGGAGAATCCATCGTCGTTGTCAACGAACAAGAACGCAAAGCCATAGCCACATCGAGACGTCTTGACGAACAATTCAACAGTTTTCTCCAGATACTTCGTATTGTACTACGTAACATCCAATTTGGCACTCTAATGGATAGTTTTCATTCTTTATTGCAAAAGGCGCATTTGTGATGTTCACGCTGAAATGAAAATTATTTTGATCGTAAGTCATGGAACGGTATCATTCTTGTTTGCAMCGTATTCACTCAAGTCATGATATTTGGTATGTTTTGTACTGTATCGGTCCTGTAGTCGTGTGGCGTACYTACCTACCGTAGTATTGGTTGCTAGTACCATACCAGGTACGGTACCACGCAAACAGTAGCATACGTACCATTCCTTGTACATGACACATACGTACTTCTAGTACTTATTCTAATATATCGTACTMTTGTACTAGGTTCYGTGCGGTAAAAACACCTCGATCGTAGCACTTACTCTCACTTGCTAGATGGTGCCCAGTACAGTTTCCAGTCCTACGGTATGGTACCGTACGTACATACTCGTGATCTATTCCTAGAAAACGGTTTCCAGCGAATTTGTGCTCGCCCGCGACGTTACTAATTATCCCTTCGATTCTCTCATGGCGCATCCAAGACTGAAACAAGAGAACAAATACAAACCGTCTGTCACGGCTATCAACACAAACCAGAAGGGTTCAAGAAGAACAATAGAAGAACCAGTCAATCAAACGAACGAACGAACGAACGAACGAACCAACCAACCAACCAATTGATCCATCAGTTTTAATCAACCAAGCAGGAAAACATCCAATTGCTCCGCCACATTCAAAACGTATCAGCATTCGAAGAGGGAAGAAACAATCCGAATGCCACGATCACCATTACCCGCAACGCAACGGGGAAAAGACTTGGTGTGCTCCCTCGTGGGAAGCATCGAGAAAGCAAACACGGCCGTTCTCCATGGCCGCCGCGGGCGATCGCCGTACGGCAGGGTTGCGATAGAAGACCACGACAACGACGAAGACAACAAAAACACGGACGGCACCGTCGAAGCAGACGAGCAAGGGCAACACGGGATCGCCCGGACGCCGCGMCACGATCCAGAAGACTACCGAAATTTCTGCATCGACGAATGCGACGACATTGATTATGGAATCGATGCCAGCGACGACAATGACGAGATGCTCCGCCCGGCGTTGCAAGCTCCCTTTCCGAGCGACGACGAATGCGACTGCGACTGCTTCGCACGCCACTGCATTCACTACCATCCCCAGAGCCCTACCCCGCCACAGAACTACATCTGTCCCCTAACACTGCAGATTATGGAAGATCCGGTCCGCGACAGGTGCGGACATGTTTTTGAGCGGAGAGCAATACTAGAGTGGCTGGAAACGACCTCGGCTTCGAACGACGGACAACCGGCCATTTGTCCAATTTCACGGAAACCCATGATCCAAGCCCATGCATTCAGTAGTAGTAGTAGTAGTAGTAGTAGTAGTAGTAGTAGCAGCAGCCACAACATGCAAATTGGTGGTGCTATGGGGGACAGTGGACACCAGAAATGGGATCACGTGCTCAGAAGCGATCCACGCCTCCAACAGCGAATCATAGAATGGAAGTTGAARTATCCCTTGTATCAGGGAATGGACSTGAATTACGTCAAGCACCAGCGAGCGAAGATTCTCAGCCACTGCCAATACGACCGCGACTGCGAGAGCCAATTCCACGAGGAGAGCGTTGGTGGGCACAGCCAGGCCAGCGGGCACACCGGCACTAGTGCCAGCAACAGCAACAGCAACAGCAACAGCAACAACAGTCTCGAGAATCTGTCCAGGTTCGAGCTCATGTTCCTCCCCCAAGAACGTCGGGTTATGAAGGCGGTCAAGGCAAAGGCCGCGTCCCGGCGGTTGCAACGAGAACGATCCAGGCGCTTGCACCATTGTTTGTTGGCCTCGGTGGTGACCGGGATTGTCCTCGTGGTGGCATGGTACGTCGTGGTTGTCCAAGAGCGAAACGATGGCCCGGGGACGGACTGAGCGGGACTCGCAACACCGGGAGGGGAGGGGATGTCAACGGTGAATCGCGTGGCAGAAACGCGATGTCTATCCAGCCGTTCGGAACCTGTCTCTTACTATTCGGGGTCACCTCGTTCGAAACCGGACTCAACACACGGAAGGGCTCGCAAGCCATGCGAGTACGAACTACTGATACAGACTACGTGAGGCGCAACTGCGACATCGATAACGTATACAAAACCTTTCTTCTTACTTTCTAGTATTCGCACTCGTGATGTCATCTCAACACAATAAACATAGAAATCCTTGATTTAGYACTGCCATAACGAAATCACTCCTATTTTTATGAAACATTTTTTATCATCGCTACAACAACCATATGTGAAATGGGGGCCTCGGAAAGCCCTCGGTAMGGTCCCTGCCTAGATCTCCGTGAGAACTGGGTTGTAATACCGTTGCTTGAACGAGCTCAGCTCGTTTCCGAGTGCGTTGTTCGATACCTGGATCTCCCTCGAGGCCTTCATGGCGTCCTCGATCTGCATCCGGAGGTCCCGGGCCCTCTGGGAGGGCGTGTCGGAGGCACCGGCGCTGGACTCGGAGGTGGTGTAGTTCAGGTCGATGTCCGAGACCGACCCGCTCTGCGAGGACTGCTCGCTCAGCGCGGGGTCGAACATGCTCCTCGACACCCGGCGGCCACCGACCCCGGAACGGGGGCCGGAGGYCATGGTCTTTCCCAGCCCRTGGCTCACGGTGTAGTGCTTCAAGCGGTCACGATCCCGCTTGGTGGCACCGCCAAGGGTCGGCGAGGGGCGTCCCCCCTGGGACTGCCGGAACTTTGYGAGGGCCTCGGCCCGCTGCAGCCGGAGGAGCTCGAGCCGGTTCTGGATCGCCGGGGAGCCGATGGTTYCCCCTCCGGCCCGGTCGTTCGATTCGTCCCGGCTCTCGGTGTCGTGGCCGTCGTCGTCGTCGTCGTCGTATTGCCTCTCGCGCAATTCCTTGTCCTTCATCACCTGGCTTCCCATGATGGTCTCCAGGAGGCCCTTCGAAATCTCGAGCGTGCGAGTGAGCAAATCYTCCTCTTCTACCGTTTCCATCGGGGTGGTTCTGGTCTTGGTGTGACGAGTCGSTGGTCTTTGGAAGTGCTGTCTCCGGACCAATTCGGGGTTGGGCTGGTCCTCCCTCACGAAGGAGGAGCTGAAGTTAGACGTTCCCTCGGAGGCGCTGGTGTAGTAAYCGGATTCCGAGTGATCGTTCTTGTCCTCGAAGATCTCTTCGAATCCCCAGCTGATTTTCTTGGCAATGTGCGAGGCCGCACTGGCAAAGTCTCCACCGTAGCTCTGGTCCGCGTTTCGTGGCCGGCCGACCATCGCCTCGGGCCTCGGCCGCGAYGGACCGGACGCCTTGTGGTTGTAGTTGGAGGGGAGCCTGTCCAGCAGCTCGGCATCGATGAGGTCCGTGACGTCGTTCATCATTTCGTCGAGGTTGGCCTGGATCTGTTTCTCGGAATCCCAGTGCGCCTGGCTCTGGGATAGRGACGCAWAGGATGCCTCGGCRTCGATGGGAATGGGATCCTGTACGTCGCTGCTGGACGTGGTGATCTCGCCCGGGATCGGTCCGGACGGCGGAGCGACCTCGTCCATGTACTCGTCGCTGTCCGAGCTCTTCTCGTCCTTGGCCGTGGACGCAATGGTAGACAGGGTATCCCAGTATTCATCGTCTTTCTCGAGCAAGAAGCGTCCCTGTTCCATGAGAAGCTTCTTTCTCGCCTGTTGCCGCTCGATGCGCTCGAGCTCGGCTTGTTTCGAGGCGGCCGCCGTCCGCACCGGGGACCGCGGGTGGTTTGGTTCCGGGGCGGGCTGTCCGCTGGGAAGGAGATCGAACTGGTCGTCGGAAAAGGGGACGGAGTCGCCCGATCTAGATCCGAAGAAACGCCGGTTGTCCCCCCGGATCTTCGGTGTGTTTGCGTTTGCGTTTGCGTTTGCGCGTTCACTCCGCAGCGAGTGCTTCTCGGTGTCGTCGCCGCTCGACGCAAGGCCGTCGCTCTGGCTGTTGTTGGGATCGGCGATCTGGAGCATCGAGGCCGCGAGATTCATAAAGGAATCGAATTGCACCGGCGAGTGATCCGCCACGGGAGCCTCTCGGGTCGGGCTCTTGTGCGGGCTCGCCAGGGGGCTTGTGCTCTGCCGGCTCTCGGCGACGGCAGACGAGGGCATCGCACCATTCGTCGAGATCCGTTTCCCGTGGTTCCGGATGGCGTTGTCGATGGCCTCGTTGAGGGAAGAGGGCTCCGGTTCTTCGTTCGATTGGCCGGTTTCGAAGCTCGATTCGTAGCTGCCGCTGTATTCGGTGTACTCTGTTTCGACGCGGGAATCGGACCTCTGGGTTTCCCGGGTGAGGACGACCGGCTGCTCGTCGGGCAGAAAGCAGATGTTGCCTATGTTGCACCCGTAGACCTCGTTGTCGATGGTTCCCGCCGTGGCGTCTCCGAGCAGGGTTCCGGAGTCGAGCTGGTCGATCAGGGCCTTGGCGTCGTGGGAGGTCACCATGTCGGGAGGAGGCGCCGAGCCACCAAAGTCGCTCCCCTCCAGTTCGGAGGTGACGGGACCGGTGACCGGGTGCTGGTGTCCCCGGCGGGGATCGGACAGCAGGTGGTCCACCAGCTGTCCAAAGACCCGGGGGACCCCTAGGGTCGAGACCGACCCGTCGTCATGCTTGCGGTGCGTGTCGTTGTTCATCATGATTTCYGCCACGGGGAACTTTCTCGGGTTTTTCACGGAGGCGTCCAGGTCGGAGATGGAATCTCCCCTGCGGACCGTCACCTCGCTGATGGGAAAGTCGGAGAAGACGTGGCTTCCAACATTGTTGTCGGAAGCCATTCGATCGGCATCGGTGACCGCATAGGTGTGGAAGACGGCTCCGGGCAGGCGGGGCTCTTGATCGGCGGCGTCCTTGGCGTTCTTTTGCTTGGACGCCAGGAGGGCCTGCTGGGCGAGCGCCCTGGCTTCCTCCTCGCTGGGGTGGCCGTTCCCTCCGGTGTTCTTGAAGGCCGCCGCATCGACGGCGGCGGCGGCCGCGGCCATGGCCGCCTCGATGGCCGAGACCTTTTTGGTGGCGGAAGACTTTGGCAGGACTTTTCCCAGGATTTTCTTGACGAGCGACTTTTTGTTTCCGACGAGGTGGTTGTTTTCGTTGTTAAAGTCCTCGAACTGGGCCTCGAGGATGCGGCGTGCCTCGGCCGCCTTTTTCTCCTCGGTTTCCTTCAGCCACTSCGCCTGGAGCTTGTCGTAGTCCTTGGAGGCCGGGGCCGCCTTTTCCTGTGTCATCTGCGGCTGGCAGCGGCTCATGGTCATGGGAGCGGGGGAGGAGAACTTGAGCCCCTTGTTGATGTCCACCGTCTTCAYCTTGGACGCCGCGAGGGCGGTCCTTCGCGGGGATTTCGGCGATCGCGGCGCCTTTTTGGGTGACTGGGCCATCTTCCGGATGGGTGCCTTTGGCGACCGGGGGGACCGGGGAGAAAAGTTTTTGACGGGGTTGGTGACCTTGTCCGAACGGCGTGGCTCGGGCATCGCTGTGCACGCCGCGGGCGGGGGCTCGGTGGAGATGGGCCAGAGGGAGAGAAATCCCGACGCCGGCTTTGGTCCGGCGTCGCCGTTCGCAAAGGCCTTGGTCACGGAAAAATCCACCGAGTTTTGTCCGGCGTTCAGGGACATTCCGGGAATGCTCGACTCGGTRGACCCGGCCTCGGCGGGGTTCGTTTTCTGGGCGTTCGGTCCGTTGCAGGGTGCCGGCTGGACCTTGTGCGAGGCWACGGCGGCAACGGCGACGGCAGCCGCGGGGGTTGCCTTCGCCTTGCCGGCGGCCTGGTTCGCGTCCCGGGTGTCTCCGTAGGGGTCCGTCACGTCCGATATTTTCGTCCCGTCTTCGACGAGAAAGTTCTTCGGGACCTTGATCTTTTTCACCGGGGACTGGGGCTTGCCGGAGTGGAAGAACGGGAGGGTGAACTTGCCGGTGCCGGCATTCTTGGTCCTCGTCGTCTGGAGGAGCGAAACCTTCTTTTCTTCTTTTTTCTTTGTCATCTTTTGTTCGGTTTGGATTGTTGCGTCACGAACAACAGCTGCGGTGGCACAAATCGTCTACAATAAACAATTTCTAGAGAGATGCAATCCAATGCGTTGCGATGCGATGCGTTGCGATGCGATGCGTCTCGATGCAATGAGACCCGGGTTTGTCGTATTTGTTTTCGTTTTTCGTTTCGATCCTTCTCGTATTTCTGTCGACAGTGCAAACCAATGAAGCAATAGTAGTCGCAGCTAGTTGTTGTTGGGTGAGGAGTGAGCTAACAAACAAACAAGGTTTGGTGGGTAGTGTAGTGTTGAACGCAACRCGAGACACCGGTAATGGYAGTTGCACCGGTAGTTCTCGAGAAGTGGATTCTCTCACGCGTKTGTCGTTCGATCGAAAGGAAGCACGGTGTGCATTGGAAGCAGTATCGCACCGTGATGCCTCGTGCGATGGTTCCACGGCAAAATGTGAACGACCGGCACTGGGAGGGAACAATTTGCGATGTGAAGAAGGCGATTGTCGATTGAGAAAACATATGCCGATTAAGCCCCAAGTGGGATATCCCTCTATCAAGGAATTTTATTAGCGATTTTCTGCTGTATGTCGCATACAGAAATGAGGATGAATATAATATCAAGCATGAGAATTCGACTTCCTCGACCGCTCTGGATGTTGTATTATGTATTGTAGATATCATACATACTCTAGAATCCAATTCAACCTAATGCGCTTTCTCTCTTCTCTTCTTGTGCGGCACGTTTCCAACGGCACGAATAGCACCYGGTACATTACCAACGGTCGAATACGTGCCCTTACTTACCTACAAGTACTTCGTACGTATCGTTTGTACGGGACCGTCAGGATTATTTCGTTCGATTTACGGTATCTGTACCGTACGGTAGGCATTGCTGGGCTACTGTACGATGTACTGTACTTTCCGATGTTACAGAAAGTCCACGTGATGCCCGGAAACGGTACTACGAGTATGGATCTTATCGTACCATGCCGTAAGTACGAGTACTGTACTACTGGYATGTCCCGGTACGGGTACTACTGTGGACCATGATGACAAAAGGTCCGACGCAACGAAAACGACAAAAGCACGAAAGAAACCTCCAGAAAAAGACTGGCAAAGCAACCTCAATCCACTCTGCTCGGCTCCAGAATCCACGACCCAATACCACCACACCGATAGAAAACAAGCTCGGCTTCTGCATCGAGTACGTACAGCCTTGCTATTCTAGGAACCATTCCCATTGGCGTTGCGTTTGTTGCACCTATCAGCAGACATACCCCTCCACCTACCACACC